TCTTATTAATTTATTGTATTTCTGTAAGTAGTTTCACATTTGGTAAATGTTCTATATATAATACTTTAATAAAGATATATTTTTGATTGATTTAAGAGTGTAATTTCTAAACATTTAAATCCAACTTATTATCAATTTTTCTATTTTTTTTTAGACAAACTATTTATCTCTTTATAAGTATGTAAATATGGGTAGTAAACACACTTAACCCAATTATTATTTTATCTTTATTAAAAACATGAATTTAAAAACATGATGAATTTCAAGATATAAATCCCACTTTTGTCAACATTCTCCGTTCTAGATCCGTTCTCTCAGTGTACATATTCGTATGGGCCAGGGACCAGACCACATGCTAAACGAATGTTGACAAACAATTATTATTTTATTATTATTTGTTTGTCTGTTGTCTGAAAGTGCCCTCTCAGCACCTCTCCCTATCGCTATCGCTGCTGCTGCTCTGGTTCTGGTTCTGGTTCGGCTCGGGACGTCTATCTATCAGTCTGACAGTTAGTTTGCATGACTTTCACAGATACCCACAATCGCATAGAGAAGCGCTCACACAGATACTCTTTACACTCACATGCCAGTTGTCGTCAGTTCGTCTGCCCGGCATTTTTCTACACCGCCGCCCGCGTTTGTTTACTTTGTCTAACTGCTATTTGTAATACTATTCATGTTCTGTTGTTGATTATTTTATTATTACCTTTTTTTGTATACCCTGTTTGAGCAGAAATCTTCCCATGCAACACATTTTTCGACCAAAAATTAACTAAAACAAACACTGAAAGTGAAGAATGGGCGTGAAGCGGGGCATAAACAAACTTTGACAGTTGAAAATCAAGCGCTAAAATATTTGCCACATTCTTTTTTTTTTCGTTCCCAATTGTGGCGAAATATTTAATGAAGTTCTCTGGGCTGTCGACCTGATTGCTTTTGATTAAATGGCTGTCAGTTAGTGAAAAGCGGGAAGGGAAGTTTGGTATATTGAGAAATACATTTTTATAGGCAATTTCATATGTGAAAGTGGCAACTTAGTAAGCAATTCATCAATTAGAAATTAAAGATTCATCATAAATATAATCAAATAAGCAAAAATCAAACAATATAAATATATAAATATAAAAAATCCCGTATAAGTAAGATTATAAAATTTACTTCTAAGTTCACAATCATATTGATCCTATTAAAAATAATAAATTTTTAGTGAAGTTTCATATTTATTTGTTAAAGTAATGAGTTAACATTAAATGTCAAACCAAAAGGCATAATAAATGCTTCAAATAGAAGTGGGTCACATTAAAAAATGATATCCGCAATCGAATCGCAATATCTTTCCTCATTAAGATGCGTGGCACACAGTCTCCCCTAACTGTATCTTCCATATCTGATCCATATTTCCCAACGAATTTTCTCCGTATCTGCGAGAACATTTCTATGCGCTGGCACACAGTTTTCCAGCTGAAGCATCACTAATAACTTAATTCGATTCGAGGAAATGGCCAGCGAGTATTCTCAGCCACATTGGGGCGTATCTAAACACAGAAATCTAAAGCTTAATGGCTCATTAAAGCGAGAAGAGCGAGCGGGCGGCCTCGTATGCGTTTTTCCCTCCATTTGATTACGAATTTATTGTTGGTAATATGAATAAAAATGAAAATTCAAACGCGAGTGTATCTGTGTGAGGCTGCTAATTATGCATGCCGCATATGCGTTTGCATTAGAAAAACGGCAGCAACAGGCTGCTTATGCAATGCAATGCAAACCGACAAGGAGGAAAAAAAAAATAATATACAAAACAACAGCGAAAAATTATAATAATAATGCAACAGCAAAACAAAAACAAAAAAAAATCATGAAGGGGAGGCAGGAAAAAATAAAGATACAAATGCGAGAGCGTTGCAATAATGGCAAACGAACCGAGGCACGCAGTTGGCCTACGAAATGAGCATTTCACATCGTGTGAATTTTAATTAAAGCACCGACAACAGCAAAAGTTAGACGCACTAAGTCAGCGAGCTTACTGCTTAATTAAATGCAACATATGCCGCTAATTAAATTTATGTGGCCGTCGCAAACTTTGATTATCAAAAATTATTTATGCAAAATCTCTGACAGGAAATACCTGCAACTGGCAAACCAGCAACTAGCAACCTGCAACCTGCAACCAGCAACCTGCAACAGGCGATGCATGGCCTGATAAGGCCGCAGCAACATCAGCAACATAAACAACATCAACTTCAACAGTAGCAACAAAGCCTGGCTTAATTTAATTGTACATAGTTTTTGGTTGCATAGTTAATTATGCTGCAGTGTTGTGGTTGCTTTGATTTAATGAGCGAGTGCTGGTTAATTTATTGAGAGGGCCAATCAAGTGATAAACTCAATTAAAAGGGGAATCACCTATTGATTTTCTCTGAAATAACATTTATTTATCAGCAATTTGGAGACCTATAAATATTAAATCTGCAGTAATTAATTTTACGATTTTGCAGTCAATATATAAAGTAAATTTATAGTTTTTAGACAGTATTTTATAATGAGTTTTAATGATAAAATGTCAACTTTAATCTTAATACTCAAAAAAAAAACATACATATTTTTCGATTTTAGATTTTGGAATCTCACAAAATAAAATAGAAATGTATTTTGAATCGATAATGCCATTACTCAATTCCTGAATGAACTGCAATGACACTTTCTATGAATGACAACAACTTTCTGCGCGATTTGCATTTGTTCAATGCATCAGCTGTACTATATATACGCAGATATATCTATTAATATATGTATCAACCCGGGGTGTTGGTATAAACAATGTGTGGCAAACACTTGCACTATGCGCATAATCGACCAGGGAAACCTCTTACATATTTATTTATTGTGCCAAGGCGACTAACTCGCCGGCAAGCGAGGAAACTATGACCAGATGTATAGTGAGTCACCCTGCTGACTTTCAAGTGATGGGCCGCCTCTCTCTCTCACTATTTCGCTGTTGGAATTTAATTCATTAAATTAAAATTAATGTTTATTTACGCGCAATTTTACAGCGTGCCCGAGAGCCTGGCCAAAAGTATTGCCAACCGAGCATAAATTAAAATATATTACCAGCAGAAACGGCAACTTCAACTTGTTTAAAATTAGCCACTGCAAATGCAACAACATCATTATGATCACGATTAGCACATATAGCTTTTCCCTCGTAATTTAATTAGTTTGCTGAGGCCAGAAATTCGATATTGTTGATGGCTTTGCATCTGACACTTGATTGACAGCAGCTGGCAAAAAAAAAAAAAGGAAAATAAGTAATGCCTAATGGAGTCCGCAGATTTGTTTAAGCAAAACGGGTTTGCTTAAAAAAATGCTGGGAAAATCGTTGTAAGCTCAAAAAGCCTGATAAGAGATCTACAAGTAAATCAATATTTTTTTTTTTTTGCATCCGGTACTATAATTAAGCGATTGTGCCGCGGCGATTGGAAAATTAAAAACGTTTTAACAGTGATTATGCAGCGATAAGATTGTCTACCTAAAACGAGCTGAACAAGCGCGGCAACAAAATAAACAAAATTATTACAACAATCGGGGAGATAGGAACTACAGACTAGACTATGTACAGCTGTTTTGTCATTAGAAATGCCAATTGCACGTAATACGTCAAATGCTATGTGAAATTATTTTTAATGAAATATTGTGTCATTAGGCAAAAGAGGGGCGCGTCTGGTCAGCGATTAGCTTTCCTTCCCCTTTTCATTCCCACTCGCTGGCTGACCCATTGTTGGTTTTGTTAATTTAGCTAAAAGTCCATTAAACGTTATAGTTCTTATGGCCGATGGAACTATTAACGTAATTGTTTATAAGGCACTCGGGGACCTCGGCTTTACACCTTATGGCTTGTGGCCGAAAGGTAGAGGGCCCATCAATAGCCGTAATTATTATGATGTGTGACATGCAGCCTGCTCGGCCGGCAGTCATTATCATTATGTCCAGGGACAGTAAACTGTCCTTGATGATGATGGGGCAACCTGATTTCTCCTCGAGACGCGAGAGTAACCAAAGGATCCCGCTGGGGTTCGGTCTTTAAGCCTTAAATACAAAGATTTTTGTAGAAGTTTTGACGATTTAAGATGGTGTATTTATTGATGGTAAAAATATGTTGAATACATTAATTATAAAAAGAAGTGGTGCTTTAAAACATAATTTTATAGTTCGGTTATTAAACCTAAAAGATAAAATTTTTTAAATTAATTAACATTTACCTTCAAGTATAATAATTTTTCACCGTGAGAAATCATTTTACATAGCTCAATCGACTAACTACAAATTACTCAGCTTATTTGGTATACGGCACCAAAAATTATAGAACTGTCGAGTAATAGCTTATAAAAATTGCATTTATAGATTTTTTATCGTTAAATACTGCCATACATACATATACAGTACAATTACAAGGCAAATAAAATCAGCCATAAAAACTTATACAAGGGAAAAGCCCGAGTCGAAGTCTTCTTTTATAGCATAAAATTCCAATAGGCAGGGCATCATAATAGAGACTCCATAAAAGTTTGGGGAACTATTGCATTGCTGCTTTATGGAGGTGCATTTGGGCGTTTTATGGAAGTAACCCGAGTGTTTTGCCACAGGTTGGGGCACAGTCACTGGTTCATCGACTGGCAGATACGAATGCCCCGAAACAGATACGACCTCGAACATATCGTTTGAATCACCATTTACCAGGGAACACAGACCCCATCGCCACTTTGGCCACTTGTCAACGCCATCAAATGGCAAAAGGCATGAAAGGCACGAAGGCAAAGGAGTGAGCTCACTTTATTTTTATTGCATTTTAGCAACGCTTACTTTCGAACAATCAATTCAACTCTTCCTACCCTCTAAATGCCTCACTTTACTTAAGCAAACTGATTTTTATCATCGCTGCCGTCGCGTCGTTTTATGAGCATCATCAAAAACTAATAAAAACTCAATGCGTTCTTTATTTGCAGGCAGACGGCAGTCGTACCCGTACTTTTCAGACCCATCAACCCAGAGCCCCGAAGAACTGGAGAAACTGTGGAACCACAAAGGCAACATGTTGCACATGCACTCGCCAAAAGCAATTTGCATACAAATGTTGCCAACGCACTTCAAAAACTGCACAATCACAGGGGCTTCTAGGGGGGGTATAGAGGGGTGGTGTAGAGGGGGTGTGGTGGGGAGGGGAGGGGGTATTGCAACGGAAGAGGGTAAAAGCCGCTTCATAATTTGATATTAAACATGCACGCGTGTCTCCTTCTCTTTTTCTCTCATGTGTGCAACTTGTAAATTTGCAAATTGCTAAAATGCATGACAGGAACAAAGGGGGGAGGAGGGCAGGAGGGGGTGGAAAGGGGGGAGGGGAGACTTTCGGGCAGCTGCGTGAATTTGCATTTACATCAAGGAACCGCAGGACAGGAAAAGGACCACAAAAAGTTACCCAAATTCAGCCTCAGAATAAAAATAAGGTGAATAAAAATGCGAAGTCTGCTCAATTGACTTTCAATTGCAAAACAAACATAATGCACTTGGGGAAAATCGAGGAGACAACGTTCAATATGCCAAAAACAAATTAAGATTAGTCAATTAATTGAATTGAAATTAAATATTTCGGGACAAACTAAAAATTAAAATTTAAGAACATTAAAATATATTTAAAAAATTCTGAGGTGGTACATAATTTAATTAATTTATTTCTTTAGTTTTATTTAGAGGTGTTTTTTTTTGTCATTTGTATTATTACGTTCTTTACATAATTTTATATTTCCCAATGGTTTCAAACGTTTAATTTCAATGGTTAAAATAAAAAGTAGTGACTAAAATTTTTTTTTTTTTTAAATGAAATTTAAGAGTTTATTAAAAACTAACAATTAAAAGCTTGTTGTATAATAACCATTCAAACGGAACCATCATTGATAGTTTAAACACTTCTTATTTTTTGAAGGAGCCTAATCAACCCATTTTTTTTTCTCAGTGCTCTTCGGAAGACAAAAGCCAAACCCAAATAAATTTATTTTCAATTTTTTTTCAATCTGCTTTTCGTCCGTCATATGATTGACATGGTCGATTGAACGGGCGACTGAGTGAGGGAGTGGAGCGATGGCAGCGATACACATATCGTTTATTTTTGGCGGCAAGTGTTTGCTTTGCGTTCGGTTTGCAGTTTTGTTAATACTGCACTCGAAAATGCCCGAAACACCTCCTCAGTTGGCCCAAAATGCGAGGGCTCTTGAGAGCGGGATCTCCGGATTCTTAATAAGCTCGAGCAACAAAAAAATAAGAACACACTTTTCATATCAGATTTGTACACGCAATTAAACGTACTTTTATTTGGAGTATATGTGGGGCCATATAAATCATATTTATGAGACATTTCCCCTGGAGGCAAAAAAGGAAAAAGGAAAAGCATGTGAATGTTAAGTAGGCACGCAATGTGCGAAAGAGATGGCCAGAAAATGCGTCACTCTCTCCCCATTTTCCTGACTTTTCCTTTTGCCGAAGGAAAACAATAATCAATAAGTGATACCCGGCCAACAACTGTGGGGAAAGTCACCCCCGATTTATCCATATTTCCTCCCTCTCGTTCATATGTGTTACAATTTTTGTTGAGCATGGTAGCTGGGTAGTTCATAACTTTTCTCACATGTGTGTGTCTGTGGTGGTTTTCTTGGCCAGGACTTTAGGCGTTTGACAGCCATGTTTGTCCTTCACACACACACACGCACACACACCCACACATGATTGTAGGCGTCGCCTTGTGGCACCCCCAAAAAATACAACAAAAAAATTAAGGAAAAAGAAAAAGTGTTGGGAAAAAGTGTGCCACAAACTTTTTACCCGAAAAAAGTTTGTCTGCTGACACAGATCTGTGTGTGAATGAGCGAGATAAGGAGCATTCGCCAATTTTCCAGACTCTACCCCTCTCTCTCACTCTAACCGTACACACAAAAAAAAACTTTAATAGCTCTGGGGTAAATTACTCTTTTTATGGCACAGCAATTATCACATTAAACAGCTTAAAACATTTTATGTTAAAGCTGTAATTAATCATAATCTTTTTAAAGGCACAATTTAAAGCGGGTTAAAACATACAATTATCACCACAATAGGCGTATTTAATTGAAATGGTCTTAAAATGAGTTTACAAAAATATTTTATAAATTATAAAAAATGAATATCAAAATTTCATGCCTAAAGCGATACTTTGAATGATAATTGTATTTGGGCTTAAAAATGATTTACTTCCCTACAAAAATTAAAACTTTTAAATAACATTTTTAAATATTAGTAAATGATTTGTGGACCCACATAAATAACTTTCTAAATTTTCCGTGAAGTGTAACAAACCATCTTTGGACTGCCAAAGAGTTACCGAAAAACAAATTTGAAAAATTTGGTTAGATTTTGGGTTCGTTTCAGTTTTAGGCCCAGCTGATTTATTGTCATAAATTTCATTGAAATTCATGAGGCTCTTGGATGAACCTCAAAAAAGTAACAAAAACAGGGCGTGGCCTAAATGATGTGTGCGTTTGTGTGTGTGTGTGTTGCTGCACCTACGCAATAGTTTCCAAGATTTATTTCGATGGAACGAAGGGAAATTATAATATTTTCCAACTTCTATTATTGAAAAAGAAATATAAAAGAAATAAAACGAAATACAATTCTGTGGGGAGATTATGAAAAGAGCTGTTGATGTATGAATTGTATGGGCCTCTCATAAATCTAGGGCCCCTGTCAAGGTGTCCATACGTTTCTCCAATGTGTGTTGTGTGTTTGTGCTCAAGTGGCAGTCATAAATTTGAAATTTATGTTCATCTCTCGTTTGGATTTCCTAGTTTTTTTTCCGTTTACCATTTTTCGGTTTTGGTCAAGAGAACCTGCCACAAAGCAAAGTTCTTTCTTCGCTTGTTAATTAAATGCGATTGCATCATCGCATCTTTCAGCTGTCCATCTCAATGTCGACAATTGAGGTCGAAATAATAGTGGTTCGCAGGTTTTTATGAAACTTGAATACCAAAAGATTAAATATAAATTGAAAACTTATGGTGAATTTTTTTTTACTTATTTATCATAGCCATAATTTGTATTGTTTTGTGCTAAATGGCCAGTAAAATATTATGTATAATTTCTCCCACTAAATGTTTAGCTTCAGCTGTTCATATTTCTATCCCATTTTATTAAGCTATGACTGGACAGAAATTGTCGCTAATCGCTTCTCATGTACCTCAAGACATGCCGCATTTGTCTTGTCTTTATTTTTTCGGCTTTGCCGACTTTGACACATTTTTCTTATGAATTTTCTGTATGTTTTCCCTCACTAATTTTTCGTGGCGTGTTTGTTCTGACCGCCAAAATTGCTTGTCCAACATTTGTTGGACATGTTTTTGTACTTTGTTTCGGTTTTTTTAGGAACATACAAACTACACGCAAGTGCGGAAGATTTTAAGGCAGATCCGTTAAACATCAAAATCAACTCTTTCAAGCTCATTTAACAGCCAGAGAAAAAAAATCGGAATAAAGCCAAAAGTTGACCTTCAAAAACGCAACGCAGCCAAGCGAAAATGGCAACAAAAAAAATATAATACATAATACGAAAAATAACAAAAGTCAGAGCTGCTTGGAAACAGGTTGTTGTTTCGCACTCTCTATTGTTAACATTTTATTATGCTTTTTTCAAGCGGAAAGCAACAAAAGCCCCCAAAAACTCCTGCATTTTTACGATTACTTACGATCGAAATTCATTTCTCTGGCGATTTTTGACCTTGCAGTTGTTGCACTTAACACGTGCCAAAAATTGATAATGAAAGAGCCCGTTTTCAGGTGTTAATCACACGGCGGGTTATAAAAAAACATGCGAGAAAAAGCAGATATAGCCAGCCAGCTGAAAAAAAAACAGCCCAAAAAGGCGCCAAAAATATTTCAACGTCAAGACAAACAAGAAAGGAAAGCTAACTTCGGGCGGAGCCGAAGTTGATATACCCTTGCAGAATACTCTATAAATTATATTCTCCAAAATTATTCATATGATGCATTCTTAATACTCATAAAAAATCCCAACTTCCTAACTTTAAAAACACCAAAGTTATGGCATTTCCAATCGTTCAGTTATATGGCAGCTATAGGATATAGTCGGCCGATCCTTATGAAATTTGGTAGGTCGGATTGGCTGGCCAAATATAACACCCATAGAAAATCCCAACTTCCTAACTTTACAAACACCAAAGTTATGGCATTTCCGATCAATCAGTTATATGGCAGCTATAGGATATAGTCGGCCGATCCTTATGAAATTTGGTATGTCGGATTGATTGGCCAAATATAAAACCCATAGAAAATCCCAACTTCCTAACTTGACAAACACCAAAGTTATGGCATTTCCGATCAATCAGTTATATGGCAGCTATAGGATATAGCCGGCCGATCCCGGCCGTTCCGACTTATATACTGCGTGCAAAGGAAAGAAGGGTGTGTGCAAAGTTTGAATTCGATATCTTTAAAACTGAGAGACTAGTTCGCGTAGAAACAGACAGACGGACAGACAGACGGACAGACGGACAGACGGACATGGCTATATCAACTCAGGAGGTGATCCTGATCAAGAATATATATACTTTATAGGGTCGGAGATGTCTCCTTCACTGCGTTGCACACTTTTGACCAAAATTATAATACCCTCTGCAAGGGTATAAAAATTCACTAACTAGAAAGGAAGTTTAATACGAAAAGTCGAGTTTTATATACTCTTACGATTATTACAAAAATTGATTAGTAAAGATAGAAATGTACATAAATATTTGGTAAAGTCTTTTCAATATTTTGAAGATGAAACATTACGACAGGTTTTCTCGGCTATTAAGTCATAAAATCTATCCCAAATTTATAGTATCTTAAGGATATAAAGAGTCGAATCTGCTGATAATAATATTTCTACTTTTTAGAGTCAAGTGTATCAAAAATATTAAGACTTTCTGTTAGGGTATACCAAATATTCTAATCGCAAATGGACGTTTGCCGCGATGACGAAGAGTTTGCCTATTGTAGATCTTTATTTGCTATAGCTTTTGTTGTGGGCACTTCAAAAGTCGTGTGCGAGTTCTTGTAGTTGTTGTTGTTGTTGTATATCGCTTGTTTACTTTTACGGTAAATA